GGTTTTTTTTTTTTGAAACGCTGGAACAGATTAATCCCGTTCCCATGCATTTCAATGGGAAATGGCACTTCGACTTACAAATGTTTCGACTTAAGAATGCAGTCCCAATATGGATTACATTTGTAAGTCAAGGTACCACTGTATGGACTTGTGTAGTTTGTCGAGATATATGAAGCTGCCTTATAAAGAGATAACACAGCTGGCCCCTGTAGCCGGATATTGCCACCTCTGTCCAGCACACCTCTCTGGAGTTCCCAGGGTCTTAGGGACAGGTTTTTCTTAGATCTTTGTAGTTTCTAGGGATTATTTAAAGGAGAGATGCTGGGGATTGAACCTGGGACTTTTTTTCTGTGAAGCAGCTGCTTCACCGCTAAACTCTGGTCCCTTCCTGCCAATGTACTGAGTAACCCCTTTCAGTGACTATTTTTTTATAAATGTAGACTCTCTCTGACAGATGAAATGAACCCTGCATGAATGCTGCTTTGATTCTTTCAACAGTACCTTGATCTAACTTTGCTCCTCTCTTTTTTCTTTTTTTTAAAGTACCTTTGCGAATGCCAGTTCGACGACAATCTAAAATTTAAGAACATCATTAATGAGGAAGATGCTGATGCAATGCGCCTCCAGCCGCTGGGCAGAGATAAAGATGGCCTGACCTACTGGTACCAGTTGGACCAAGAACATAATGTTCGGATGTATGTGGAAGAGCAGGATGATCAGGATGGGTCTTCGTGGAAGTGCATTGTCAGGTAGGTGTGCTGTCAAGACAGAAGATTGCAGACTTCCCGGCCAGTCCTTTCCCCCCCCCCATCCTTTGACATGGCCACTCAAGAAGAATAAGAGCGAGTTGTTTTGAAGCAGGAGGTGGTTCTGTTATCCTATATAGTGGTGCCTCGCTAGACGATGAAAATCCGTTTCACTGAAATCGCTGTTTAGCAAAATCATTGTCTAGCGAAAAGCATTTCCCCATTGGAATGCATTGAAACCTGTTTAATGTGTTCCAGTGGGGAAGAATCGTCATTGTCTAGCTAAGATCGGCCATAGGAAAGCCGCTTTGAGAACTGCCGATCAGCTGTTTAAATCACTGTCTTGCGAAGCTTAGGTCCCGAAAACACCTGTTTTGTGAGCGCGGAGGGAGCTGTCAAAATCGTCGTCTAGCGAAAATCAGTTTGTGAAATAGGGACCAAACATTGTCCAGCGAAATTCCCCCATAGGAATCACAGTTTTGCTAAGCGCTATAGTGATCGCAAAAAGTCAATGTCTAGCGAAAAAACTATCATGCGGGGTAACTGTAGCGAGGCACCACTGTATATTGGCTCATTGAGAGGTTTGATGTCTTTCTTGTTTTTCATCCAGAAGCCGAAATGAGCTGGCTGAAACCCTTGAACTCCTGAAAGCACAAATTGATCCTGCATTACTCAAAAAACAGCAACAGGATGGTTCGTCGCAGGAAAGCCCCAGCACTGGAGATGATGTTGCCAAAAACGAGGAAATGGCAGTGACCCAAGGTGGTCCCTCCTGTTCTCATTTTGCAGCCTGCCCTGGCATTCTCCTTCCGCTTATTTGCTCTCCTGGGAATTGTGCACAGTAGGAATATAGATGGAGGATGAAGTATGGGGCAAACTGTCCTTTTTAAATAATT